ATCTTGCAAGACTGAAAGTATTTCTCCTCTCCTTTCCTTTTACTCTCTGGAAAACTAGGGAGGGTCCCTTCTGGAATGCTTCCCACACCCCTTTTCCTTCTGTGGGCTGAGATTCCTTTTGCGTGGAGCTGGTCTAGTTTGCAGCTCTCCCTCCTGTCTCCCAAGGTCATTCCCACAGACCATCACACAGAGGCACTTTTCACCAGCTTCAGTTGATATGCCTGCAGAGATCATATTGTCTGAGGGAACATCTCTTTCGGCATGAACATCCATGCTCCCAGAGATTATCTGAGAAAGTTTGCCTTCTCTGTTACCACTAAGGAATCACCCCTGCCGAGTTGCGGGGCTGCCTTTAGAAAGGCCCACAAAAGGCGTCTTTTGGCTTTGAACTTTTGATTTCAGCTGTTGATTTTAACTACACATTTTACTTAATAATTATGAAATTATTACTATATTACTATTTAAAACTGTTATGTTTTTAATGCCTGAAGTTTCAATTTGATTTATTGCAAACCATTGCGAGGTTTTGTAGTATACCAAGTTAAATAAATAATAAACAGGTAAGCAATCCAATAAAATACTTGAGTGAAACCCGTAGTTTAGCCATCTGTCAAAACTTGCCCCCACCCCATCTCCATCCCCTGTAAAAAGCGTGATTGGTGGATATTGACGGGCAGGTGACATTTGGTCGGAGGGGAGGGAAACAAAGACAGGGGAACCCCCCAGTCTTTACTACTGCATGGTGTCTCTGATACCCAAAGTTCTTCCAGATACGTCTTCATATTTTGTCCAGGTTCTGCTGGTATTTCATTCTGAACACATCTTAGTTTTTAGGGATCCATCCCTGGGGGGTGACTCCAAACCTGTCATTATATCCCGCCCCCACCCATTTCTTTAAATTGGCTCTGATGATCTTAAGTGACAGGAAGGCAGATGCTTGCGGAACAGTTGAAAACGTTTCCTAGCGTTCAGCGCAGTTCGGCAGTGGGACCGATGGCTCCTCTTCACTCGATGTGTCCAAGTAGAGCCGCTGAGGTCTGGGGCTTCTATTCGTACTCGTGGACTAAGCAAGGGTTGAGCCCAGGGCCTCATGGGCCCCTTCCAACTCTTATCTAATCCCGGTGCCCCAGAATTTGGATTTTCCTCCCAGCCACCTCTGCCCTAAAGAAGTCTCTGCTTTCTTCCTTGCCCACTCAGGAATATTGACACTCTGATTGTGGATGTCTACCCCGTCCTGGACACACCCTCCAAGCAGGTGATCTGGCAGTTCATCTACCAGCTGCTAACGTACGAGGAGCAGGGCCACTGCCAGCAGAAGATTGCCAGGTTCCTTGGCTATAAGTCTTTGGCAAGTGGGCCATCCGATCCGGGTGAGTTGCACCCATAGGTACTACCTCTGGACTGCCCAGCAGCTGTTGTGTCACCATAGTGCATGAAACAAAATATGGATTGCCATGTGTGTTTGTGTGTACAGGTTTTTTATTGTTTAAAAGATGTACACGGCTGCCCATATGATACAAACTAATGCTAGGCGGCTAACAACAAAATACACGAAGATAAAAAGATAAGTGTACACAAATGGTTTTTGGAAAGGCAGGGTAAGAGAAACTCTCCAAGGAATGGCTCAGGAACCTTTAGCAGTTTGCTAAGAAGAGGGAGCAGGAACAGAGGTGATGAAAGGTAGAAGTGGGGCAGGAGTGGAGGCAGGAAGGGCGCCCTGGAGGCGCATCCAGGAAACCAGCGTCTCAGCTGCAGAAGGTGGGAGGCAGGAACTGTTGCAGATAGCCACAGGCCACCTCTCCATGCGGATCCTCCCAAAATTTATCACCCCCCTCCAAGCTTAATCAAGGAATGATAAAAGCAGTCATGAAGCAATGATGATTATTGTTCTTTCTTTTTCTTTATTTAGTAAATAAAGAGAACAAAGAGAAAAAGATTAAGATAATAGGGAAGGAAGCCATGCAATACAACAACTCTCTCTCTCTCTCTCTCTCTCTCTCTCTCTCTCTCTCTCTC